ATACTTTTCATAAACCATTACTGTAATGAATGTTCATTCTTAAGACAAAGTTGAATAAACTCCAGTGATGAATAAAATTATAAAAACTCAAAAGAGATAAAATGTATCTTCTGGAGCAATAGCCCAGGCCTACGAAATTTTTACGCACACATCATTTCAGAAGAAGAGGAATGAGAAATACATCCAGCTCAGAGAATACGGCAAAACTTTGGCTTGTAAAAAACAGCAAGATCAATGACAAGGGATGTCAAAGCAATAATTTCTTTTTTAATTAAAAACTTAATAGCATACAGAAAAGAATTTAAATACTACACCCATGAACCTTCCACTGAGACTAAACAGATGTTAACACGTTACTGTGTTTACCTTTTTCTTCAAAGAAATAAAATTTTATAAATATAAGCTGTTCTATCCCTCTTCCCCTATAACCAATGCTATTTAGTTCTTGTGCTGTCATTTCAATTCACACTCTTATACTCTGTATGTGTATTTCTAGAACATCATTTATTCTCAGTTTCAGTGGCTTATAAAAATATACATAAATGATATCATAACCACATACATATAAATCTGTAACTTTTAAGTTGTGATCATTTCTGTTTTTGCTTATCCATGTTGCTAAATTATTCAACTTAGCCTTAAGAAAGAACATTCATTACAATATTGGTTTATAGCATTCCATCATTTTTTTAATGTTTGTTTATTTTTGAGAGACAGAGAGAGACAGGGGAGGGGCAGAGAGAGAAGGAGATAGAGGATGTGAAGCGGTCTCTGCACTGACGGCAGAGAGCCCGATGCAGGCCTCAAACTCACAAACTGCGATATCATGACCTGAGCCCAAGTCGGACGCTTAACTGACTGTGCCACCCAGGGGCCCATAGCAGTTCACGTATTATTAACCCACAGTTTATTGATACACATCTCTAAATAGGACCAATTAGGTGCATCTCACTTTTTCATATTACCAACACTGAAATCTGTATGCCTCATTGTGCACCTATAAAAACAGCAATCAGTGGGGCACCTGGGTGACTGAGTCGGTTAAGTATCCGACTTTGGCTCAGGTCATGATCTCATGTGGTTCAGGCCCCATGTCGGGCTCTGTGCTGACAGCTCAGAGCCTGGAGTCTGCTTCAGATTCTGTGTCTCCCTCTCTCTCTGCCCCTCGCCTGCTCACGCTCTGTCTCTCTCTCAAAATTAAACATTAAAAAAATTTTTTAAAAAATAATATAAAAATAGCAATCACCATAAAATAAAAAATCTTAATGAAAATCTCAAACTAGACAATAGAAATAAGCTATATGGATGCTAAACAGAAAATCTGCTTCACAGCATTTAGGCCAAGTGTCTCCTTCATAATGGCTCCACAGGAATTACTGCTTTCCATCTCATGTGCCTCTTTCTTCCCTCACTGTTTAATAAACTAATATTCTTCACAAAACAAGTAAACAAGATGTCTCTCAGCCATAATAAGAGTGACTACCCAAAGTGCCGAGGAGACTGAACTTGTGTGTGTGTGCACACATATATGCTCACGCTCACACGCATACAATACATGCTGCCTCTTCATCTTTCTTTTGTCCTCTTTTAAAATCTGGTGTGTAGGGAGATTCCAGTTATTTCTGCAAATAAGGAAATTGGACCATGCAGAAAATGTATTTTTTGTTGAATTGACAGCCTGTAAAAATGACCCGAAAAGGTAAAAACAAAAAAGGAGAGATGAAGATACTTTGCTACAGCATTGTTTCCAAATCGAAGTCCATGCAATGTTAAATTGACTTAAGGTGATGGGAATAGAATGCTGTAACCAGTATGATCCTCCCAGGAGACCATAAGTGTCTATCCTCTCGTTTCTTTGGAACAACACCCTTTCTGGCTTTAAAGCCTAGATTCTTCCTATGGACAGCCCAATGCCTAGATGAAATAAAACCCCGGATGTGAACAGTGTGACAAGAGGGAAGAAAAGCACTGCATGATCTTTATTAACTAAATTTCTAGAGTTCTGAAAATGGGGATGGGTGAAGAGATAGGCTCTGGAACCTTCCCATAAAAACAACCACTTAGGGGCACCTGGGTGGCTCAGTTGGTTGAGTGACCAACTCTTAATTTCAGCTCAGGTCATGCTCTCATGGTTCATGAGCTCAAGTCCTGCATCAGGCTCTGCACTGACAGTGTGGAGCCTGCTTGGGATTCTCTCTCTCCCTCTCTCTCTGCCCCTCCCTCGCTTGCACTCTCTCTCAAAAATAAACATTACAAATTTTTTTTAAAAAAAGATTTTCAGGGGCGCCTGGGTGGCTTAGTCGGTTAAGCGTCCGGCTTTCGCTTAGATCATGATCTCGCGGTTCGTGGGTTGGAGCCCCGCGTCGGGCTCTGTGCTGACTGCCAGCTCAGAGCCTGGAGCCTATTTCAGAGTCTGTATCTCCCTCTCTCTCTGACTGTCCCCTGCTCATGCTGTCTCTCTCTCTCTCCTAGAAATAAAATTAAAAAAAAAATAAAAATAAAAATAAAATAAAAAAATAAAAAAAGATTTTCATTCTCTCTCTCTCTCACTCTCTCTCTCTCCTTCCCTCTCTCCCTTTGCCCCTCCTCAATGCTGGCTCATACTTTCTCTCTCTCTCTCAAAAAATAAATAAAAATTTTAAATTTAAACATTTTAAATGGGCAAAAGATTAAAAAAAATTTTTTTTTAATGTTTTTTATTTATTTCTGAGAGAGAGAGACAGCGTGCACAGGGAAGGGTCAAAGAGGGAGGGAGACACAGAATCTGAAGCAGGCTCCAGGCTCTGAGCTGTCAGCACAGAGCCCAATAGGGGGCTCAAACCCACAAACCATGTGATCATAACCTGAGCCGAAGTCGGACGCTCAACCGACTGAGCCACCCAGGTGCCCCTAAATGGGCAATTTCTCCAAAGAAAATAAACAAATGGACAATAAGCACATGAAAAAAAAATGTTCACAAATCACAACTCATCAGGCAAATGCACATCAAATCCACTTCACATGCACCATGATAACTATAATTCTTTTTAATGTTTTATTTATTTCTGAGAGACAGAGAGACACGTGATCAGGGGAGGGTCAGAGGGAGATACAGAATCTGAAGCAGGCTCCAGGCTCTGAGCTAGCTCTCTGCACAGAGCCTGACGCGGGGCTTGAACCCACAAACCGTGAGATCATGACCTAAGCTGAAGTCTGATGCTTAACTGACTGAGCCACCCAGGTGCCCTTGTTTACTATAATTTTTAAAATGGAAAATGACAGGGGCGCCTGGGTGGTTTAGTCGGTTAAGAGTCCGACTTTCGCTTAGGTCATGATCTCGCAGTTCGTGGGTTCGAGCCCCGCATCGGTCTCTGTGCTGACTGCCAGCTCAGAGCCTGGAGCCTGTTTCAGTCTGTGACTCCCTCTCTCTCTGACGCTCCCCTGCTCATGCTGTCTCTCTCTCTCTCTCTCTCTCTCCTAGAAATAAATAAAACTTCAAAAAAAAAAAAATGGAAAATGACAGGCATTTTCCAGGATGCAGAGAAACTGAAACCCTCCCACCATTGCTGGTGGGAATATGTAACAGTGTCATCATTTTGGAAAACAGTTGGCACTTCTTCAAAAAAATGAAACAGACAGATACTATATGACCCACCTACTCCATCTAGATATATACCAGGAGATTTGAAAACGTATGTCCACACAAATATCTATATATGAATATTCACAGCAGCATTATTCACAGTAGCCAAAGGTGGGAGTAAGTCAAATGTCCATCAAATTACAAATTTATAAACAAAATGTGGTATGTTTATATATTTGGATATTATTCAGTTATTAGAGAATAATAATTATTGATACATCCTATAACATGGATAAACCTTGAAAATATACTAAGTGAAAGAAGCCAGACACAAAAGGTCACCTATTGCACTATTCCATTAATATGAAATTGCCAGAATAGGAAATTACACAGAAAAAGGAAGTAGATTAATCATGGCCAGGGGCTGAGGGAGGGAAGAATGAGGAGTGACTGCCAATAGGTACAGAATTTCTGTATGGGGTGATGAAAATAATAAGAAAGTCATAGAATTTGACAGTGGTGATGACTGCACAATCTGCTAAAACCCAAGGAGTTTTCACTTTTTAAAAATTAATTTTATGGTGTATAAATTATGTCTCAATTTTCTAAATAAAACAAATGAAAGCTAAAAGCTTTTTAAAGGAAACCCAACAAGAAATGAGACAAAGAACAATCAATACATTAACGTCAAGCCAGATCACATGAGCAGATATAAACGCATCTTAACAAATTCTGATTTTGATTAAAAAACATGTGAACATTTCAGTGGGATTACTGAGAAAAGTAATCATTAGCATTTACTAAGTGCTTATGTATACATGAAGCAGTATTCTAAATATTGTACACAGACATACTGTATCTAATCCTTATGAGATAGATACTCTTATCCTACCCCATTTTATAAGTAAGGAAAGTGAAGCCTACAGAGGTTGTACAATTTATCCAATCTTATATAGTCTGTGTGTATTGCTACATATATACTTCAAATCCAGTAGAATCCATAATACATCAAGTTGATATATGTATTGTATACATATGCCAAGTACACATGGCAGTTGAGGACACAACGAGAGATTATTTCTTTGCAAGTGCCTAAAATTCTAGAAATACGCAAATGAGAAAAAGAGCATTTCACTGAAAAAATTTCGTTTCTACTTTACAAACATACATTAACCTTTTTCAAATGGTAATCATTCTTCTCTTAAAAAGGAAGTTTAATGAATTTCATATAATCTTCCTTCAGAGAACTGAAATTATCTTTTTTAGCCACTTCCTCTATAATTAAGGGGAACAATAGCCAAAATTCCTAGAAGACAAATTTAACTTTTATTTTAAAATCATCTAGTGATAGAAGTATTTAGGAATCAAAATTATTTTAAACATTGTTTGGCTAATGGAGGATCTTCTACTGAAAGATTAATGGGTGAAGATTACATACCTTGTTTTTAAAATAAACCTCAATTGGCAAAATGAAACCAGCATACCCAGATTCTTCTACTTTGTAAGGTGGATCTTTGCACACTGCAACATTAAAAAGAAAAAAAAAATAGGTGAGAGGAGAATAAAAGGCAAAAATACATTCTTCTTTCTTCTGAAAAAATAAAGAAAAAGAAAGAAAGAAAACCCCATTCTCCTATCTAGATCATGCTCCATTTTCACAGCCCTTTCCCAAGTCCCCATCTGCCTTTCTGATCTATACTTCTCCAGAATCTATAATCATTTTCCTAGGTAAAGCAAATATGTAAGCTATTTGTTCATATCTTGATGTGGGACATTTTACCACAGTCAACCATGATCATCAATAACTTGACTTCAGTTGTTCCCACTCTGTCCTAAAGCTTTAGGGAAACTGGGGAGAGCTCCTATGATCCAAAGCTTGAAAGTTCCCTGACAAATGCACTATCTACATCATGTCTTTCGTGTAAATCCCTCCACCCTTACACGCCTCACTTCTTGGAGACATCCTGATTTCCATGCCACAACGTGGCAAGATACCCTCCCTCCTCAGAAAATTTCGAATCCAAAATCTCCCAATGTTATTAGTGCCCATCATGTCACTCTCCTTGATTTACCCCCAAAAAAGACCTAGGCAAGACTATTTAGGCAAGCTCTTGGGAAATGAGACAAACCCTAAAGAAGCTAAATACGAAGATTTCATACCACTAGGATATCAATTATGTACATCAAACTCAGTCACAAGCCAACTGAAATTATTCTAATTAAGACTATATTTGGTAGTATTACAAAGAAATCATGGGCATGCTGAACGTCAAGGTGACATAGTCCTCTGTGTGGTAGTTCAAGTCCTTTGCAGCGAGGCCCAGCCTACCTTTCCAGTCTTCCTCTTTTGTCACCCATCAATCTCCCTGTGCTTCAGTGAAGTGCATCAATTCCCCCCAAATATGCCCAACATTTCCCAGCTATGCTCTGTCCTCCCGTCCCTTCCCTCATACCTTGATATCACTATTAATGTCCTCTCTTAGTTCAAATCTGAATTTCATCACCAATTTTGCGGCCTTTCCAGACCACAAAGCATTACCCTCTCTCCTCCTTTTACCCTCCCAAAGCAGTAATTGCCAGAAGCACAGGTGTGACGCTTAACAGAGTTCCTTATCACCACGCATTCAGGAACGTCATGTGTAATTTCCTTCCAATCCTCAAGGACAGAAACATTTACCCCAGGAACACAGTGAGCACCAAGCGTCAAGGGCTTAGGCACACCTGGGTGTCAATCCAGGCTCCATCTCAGACTAACCAGCCTAACTCTAGAAAGTTACTCCAATTCTCTGGACCTCGGGTTTTCTTCCAAACACTGTGAGGATTAAACAGGATGATGTACATAAAAGACACAGCACAGATCCTGGCACACATAAGTTCTCAAAAAGTTACTGAAGTGAGGCAGGAAATCTACTCCATGAAATATCCAACTGTCATGTAAACTTTTCAGATGAAAACAGAAAGAAAGCACCAAGGAGAGATCCCTGGATTTCAATTAGAAGACTCAAGTCCATGGCCCCTGGACTAAGAATTCTCTAGTTTCCATTTCCTTTCCTTTTAAAAGAGAGAACACCATCTACCCATCTGTAAGCATGGCCGTCAAGATGCAAGACTATATGTGTAGGAATGTAAGCATTAGGCATTTTTCTTATAGGCAATGATGATGATGTACATGAAAGTTGCTTAGACCCTCCCCAAGTGCAAATATGGTTATGAAGAGGTATACTGAAGATAGGATTATAAACTTGGAAGTCTCCTTGAGCCCACCTCAGGAACATTTCCCCAAAACTGGCATCAGAAGTAAATCAGGAATGAGGACTTTCACCTGACTTTACAAGTTTCTCTGATTAAAAAAAAAATGAAAACGCCAAACAACTCAGAGTAGCTTCAGTCCTGCGTCAACTAACCACCTGCCAACCTGTCATGAATATTCAAATACCCTGAGCCCTTGGGAGAGGGTATGCCACCAAAAGCACTGACCACGCCCCCCGCCCCAAACAGAAGACTCATATTACACCCATGATATTTCCAGACTGCAAAGCAGTCTTTTCAGAACAGCACTCTTCAGTGTCCAGGTTGTTTGGGATTAATCATGCCAAGGTCATTTGAAGGAAGTTTATTCTGTGGGCTGAGAAGTTATAGCTGCTCCTCTATACACCCTTTTGTATAATTCATTTTCTCTATTCTGCATGCAAATTGCTTCTATTATAGGAAACAGCTGTTAGTGAGCACATCTTCTCATTGAAAGTTTTAGATTTTTTCCCACCCTCTAAAGGAAATGATGTTATGTATTAATATTCTGTAAAAGTCTGGTTTACAAGAAACTATTTAACAACGCATACCTCAATTATTTTTAAATGCAATATTTTCATAAATAATGATGAACAATGTGTATAGAGCACCCTGCTTTCTTCATTAGAAGCAAACCATAGAAACTTTTTATACACACTCAACATGCTAGAAAACCAGTAGCAGGACAAATACAAACTCAGTGTTCTAATCTGAAGAAAGTCAAACCAGGGGAAGTAGTCCGTTAATTTATTTATTCAAGTATCGTATAACCTAAATCATTAACATGGGTTTCTAACCTAGTTCTTAAAAAGAAACAGGAGTTGAAACTAAGAAACATTTTAGCCAGTGGGGATAGTCCATGAGACATAAAGTAATTATTGTGAAACTAATAGGACCACCTTTGAGTCCTGGTTTCATTCAGCAACACTTCTTCATTAAGAATCCCTGTTCTGGGGAGCCCAGGTAGCTCAACTGGTTTAGTGCCTGACTTTGGCGTGAGTTCCAGCCCCATGTCAGGCTCGGTGCTGACAGCTTGGAGCCTGGAGCCTACTTTGGATCCTGTGTCTCCCTTTCCCTCTCTCTCTGTCACTTGCGGTGTTGGTGTCTATCTCTGTCTCTGTCTCTCTCTCTCTCTCAAAAATAAATATTGGAGGGTTGGGGGGGCGGGGGAGTAAGTACACTTGTTCCACAATCACTGGCCACTATGTCACCTTCTTAAGATCGAAGTGTCCTAACCCCTTCAACTCACTCTTCATCTCAATTGTTTGAGAATCAGATAATCTTAAGATCTATGTAATAATAGACCAACTTTCAGAAGTTATTAAAGGGATAGTCAGCTTCAGAAAGCCATCAATTTTTTTTAGGTGACAGTAAAATGGGGGATTCACATCCATTCTTTCAATATGCAAATTAAGTCAGCAGAAATCACTGGAAGCCCTTATTCCTGTCAAAATCCAGCCCAGGTGTTAGCTCTTTCAGAACATCTCCCTTGTTCCTCTTCTGAGCTTCTCTTGCTGCACAAATCAGGTTGGTGTATTTACAGACTGGCAGATAACATTCACTCACCTCTCAGACTCCTCCATGGGACTGAGCCCCTTGAGGTCAGCAACCCCATTATTACTCATATCTGTAACTTTGGGTACTAACAATGAACCAAGTAAAGTTGTGTTCAGCAAATATTTGTTGAATGTTCCATGTTGCCACAGACGAGTCTTCTTCTGAAAGCTGAGTGCCCACCATGGAGCTGGTTCTCATTCTGATAGTACCAAATTTCAAGAGACTAAGTTAACAAATCGAGCCAGAGGACTTTCAGTGACATTTAGAAACTAACATTATATAGCCATGAATGGCATGTCTCCAATCTCCTTCCACACTCTACTGTTCATGTATTCCAAAGCTCTAATTAGGAGGCATTTTCAAACCATTCTCTGTTCAGGGGCACCTGGCTGGTTTAGTTGGCTGACTGGCTGACTCTTGATTTTGGCTTGGCTCATGATCTCATGGTTCATGAGTTCTAGCCCCGTGTCAAGCTCTGCAGTGACAGCAAAGCCTACTTGGGATTTCCTGTCTCCCTCTCTCACCCTCTCTCTCTAACCCTCCCCTGCTCTCGCTCTCACTCTCTCTCAAAAACAAACATAAAAAAAAAAAAAAAAGAACCAGGGTGCCTGAGTGGCTCAGTCGATTAAGTGTCCAACTTTAGCTCAAATCATGGTCTTACTGTCCCTTACTGTCCATGAGTTCAAGCCCCACATAGGGCTTTGGTCTGACAGCTCAGAGCCTGGAGCCTGCTTCAGATTCTGTATCTCCACCTCTCTCTGTCCCCGCTTGCTCTCTCTCTCTCTCAAAAATAAACATTTAAAAATTAAAAAAAAAAAAGAACTAAAGAAAATGTTCTCTGTCCAAGTAATCACATATACCATCATCTACCAGCACACAACACTCATGCAGGAAAGGAACAGCTTTCAAAATGTATGTAAATAATGAGCAATAGGGGTGTTTCCCTAAAATAGCTCCTCAAAAATAGGCACATTACCCATAAACATATGTACTACGATGCTAACTCTATATACCCTGACCATTAACTAAGTTGAGCAAAAAATCTATCCAAGGAAGGAAAACACATGAAGGGGGGGAAAGGTCATGCTTTGATTATCCCAGAGTAAGTCAAAACCTTACTCATTACCTGAGATTTTTAATATGCACCATTTAGGAGAAAAACCCTTCAAAAGACCTGTGCTTGGTACAGGGAAATAAATGTTTGTGACGTGAATAGATTTGTGCTTATATTATAAAGTTCATGTACATACACAACAAATATGTTTAATTATTTAAAAGATCCCATCTTTTAGCACTGAAAAAGAAAAAGAAGTTCTTATAGATCCTTAAAACCCTTATTTAAAACTTTAAAAAAAATATCACTAGACAACAGTTTTTTTCTCCTAATCCTTAGGAAAACAGCTGGTAGATTCCTCTCCAGTCTGTTGGCTTATACACTATGATTTATGCCCATCTGAATACTTTTTGTTAAGGACACGGCTCACTTGCCCATTGATAATTATTGGTTTTGCTTTATTTACTGTGCTGAGCCCTTCAGGAAGGAAACACACCAAACGCTATACACACACTGGTCATTACCAATGCTTTGTGCCAAATGTCCCTTCCAGTTTGAGCATTTTGGATTCCTTCCCTTCCTGCTTTAGTTTTGCCATTTCCGAGCCCCCAAGAACAGTGAA